ATATATATATAGTAAAGTAAAAAGAAAATTTATTATTGAGAGGATTCTAATCAATCCGGAGAAAAACTACCGTCACAGCAAAATAATCGGCATAATTCAGGTGAGTGAATTTGGATGTGATTCGAGAATTTTATTTTTATTGTCTTCGGAGTTTGATTGTGTGTGTGTAAAATTGTTGATTGATTCGTGTTGCTTGAATATTTATGATTGTTTTTTTATATCTATGAATTATTGTGTTTAAATAATATTCAAAGTCTAGACCGGGTCGGACGGGTTCCACACCGACCAGACTAAGGTTCTAGACAAAGAAACACGAAAAATTCATATATATATAAAATAATAATAATAATAATAATAATAATAATAATAATAATAATAATAATAATAATAATAATAATAATAATAATAATAATAATAATAATAATAATAATAATAACAAATAAATGAATAAGTACATAAATCAAACAAAAAAAAGACCGGACGGGTCATAAACTGGACCAACACGAACTGCCAAAATAATAATAATAAAATAATAATAATAATAAAGAAATAATAATAATAAATAAATGAATAAATAATGAAGCAAACGATTCAGAAATTGGACCGACTCGGTCTAATCGTAAAGCCAGAATTTAACCAAAATATGACTAAACTCAGTTCAAACCGGACCATACATAGTTCAGACCAAACGATGTGACCGGGTAAGTATCAATCTCAGGACGAGCCGAACTAGTAATCCGGACGGGCCGGAACCTAGTTTGATCGTACCGATGATTTAAAAGATTAAATAAGTCATAAAAATAAGTAAAATACATAAGAACAAATTTAAAAGAAATTATGCTTGACCTTGTGTACGGTAAGTAATAATGCATGACCGTTTGTGATTGAGAAATCTTGTCAGGGTAGATGACATGGCATTGACCTTACTCGGATGGGTCTGGGTATTGTTCAGTGTATGATTGTAGATGGGTTTTTTTTTTATAATATCACAATGATTGTCTTGATTGTAAATCTTCGCGATATGATATTCGATCCGGATCGATTATTATCCCGCAAAGACATGATTGTGATTGTGGCGATCTTCGATCGCGCCATCGTTCCCTGATGAACGGTTATGGCATCCTACGACTCACTTATTCGGGTTTGCGTGTGTCACCCGAATGCATGACGAGGAAGTACGGTTCTTTGGCAACCGCGCCAACGTTCCATTGGCCATGGAACGGACTTCGGGTTTGCGTGTGTCACCCGTTGATAGGCAAATAAACCTGAGACCCGGGTAGTTGCGTGTGTCCCCCGGCGAGGTGGTACGAATATACTTTGAAAGACTTGAGCTCGGGTCTGATGAGTATTTTCCGAGGCGGATGGTCGGCGAGGGGGAGTTAGCATAGAGCTGCTTTGCCCGGCAGTCGACGACATCGGGGATCGATGTCTGGAGTGGGTATGGAGATGATCGGTACCGAGAGTCGTGATATCGGTGACCGATGAGGAGTATGAAGATCACTTGAGGTCCTCGCAAACGATTTTGCTTGGACTGTTGCGCCTCGTGTTTGACACAGGCATGAATGAGTTGTTGAATTACCTACGTGTGAGATACACGTAGAGACGATTGACGGATTTGTTTGAGATTGCTGATTGATTTTCACGATGATTGATCTGATTGATCTGATTGATATTTCTCGTCGCTTGTATATTATAATATTGACTATATTGCTTGGCCGTTTTCAATAAAAATAGAAATCTCGGGTTACACCCGAATTCCTCCCTAAGCATATAGCTTAGGACGTTGTTACGCAACGTTTCAGGTCGTGAGCAACAGTAGTGACTAAGGCAGACGTGGCTTCCAGTGACAATTGGACTTCCAGATCATGTATACTTACTTTGGACTTATTTTTCGAAAATAAAAGAGTGGTGACTTCAGACTTTTGAATTATACATTCACCACTTGTATTATATACTGGTATATTTGCATACGTGTACAAACGTATTTATGTATTTTATACGTCTTCCGCTGTATTATATTTAAAATGAATGGTTTTAATCTTCCCGCGATTTTACATTTCGAAATGTTTTGATTGTTATTTTACTTGTCCATGTGGCACAACCGTAAGCGGGATGCGGGTGTGACAGATCGGTTCGGTTCTTTCGGTTTTACAAAAATAGGTACCAATCGGGTTTTTTGTTGTATTCGGTTCGGTTCGATTTCGGTATCGGTTCGGTTCGGTTCCGGGTTTTATTAAAAAAATGTTAGTTTTCCTTTAAAAATAATCGGTTTTTCGGGATTTTTAAAGTTCGGTTTGGTTCAGTTCCGTTCCGTTCCGGAAAAATTCGGTTCTCTAAAAATGGTACCGTTCAGAAAATAACAGCGGTTTTGGATCGGAAAAAATACCGTTTTAACGGTTCGATTCGGTCCGATTCCGATTCTGAAGAACCGAACCGAAACACCTAGCCCTATGCACAAGTGCTCTACATGTACCTGTTATATTGTTATCGTTTGATTTTGAAATTATTATCACTATATGCTAGTTGATAATGCGAATAAAAATCGTAAATTTTTTTGAAATTGAAATAAATAAATTAACATTGATCGACTTATCACTCTAATTAATTGTTATGTTTGATATCAAATAATAATTTAACTTTTATTACACTATAAATTATATATTGTTATTTGCTTAAAAAATACACGTCATAACAATCTAATGCATGCAACAATTTCCAGATCCATGCAAAATATTAAATAAAACATTTAATATTATATACTTTAAAAAATATAACGACTTCAAACACTAGACCAATGAAACGAAATTTGCACCTGGCCTTTCTCGAGGACCTTGCGAACTCTCTTGTCGGAGTGATCATGGGAGAAGCCGTCGAGACAAGTCAACTGGTTGGTGATGGCGGAGCTAATTAGGGTTTTGAGAGGTCGTCTGCGTGCCGTCGGAGAGATTTATCGGCCGCGTACTTGTCGAGATACTCCACTGCCTTACGAAGCTCGTCTAACAAGTCTTTCATTGTTGCCATTTTCAGACAATGGTGATGAATGTGTTCGTTAAGGTCGGAAGCTGTCCGTGTGGTTGGGGGTTGATATCGTTGGAGATTACGTGAAGAACGAGAGGTGAAAAATAAAGGTCCAATTTTTTGTATTTCTATATTTTATATGCTTCTATAATAAATGTTTCAAACGTGTTATTTTGTTGGATTTTTTTTTTTTGGCCCACTTATCTTAAAATATTAATTTTCCTTACCCACTTCGCCAAAGTTTGTAGTTACTAAAGTGTTATTTTAATGAAATTTTGTGGGAATGCAGAATGAAATTTTAATGAAAACCATCATTTTGATTAATTGGAAATGTTACCACATGCATGTCCCATACGCATTTATGATTCTCATCGTATTACCATTGACCCGACCCGACCCCTCATAATGGGCCCTCATTCGGCTCGAATTGCTTCCTATTGGGTCTAATGAACCTTCATCATTTTTTTTTTTTGGTCAAAGCATGATCATTTGTTCGTTTGTTTTGTTTACTTTTATTTTATCCAAAGCATGGGGTTGTTAAGCACACGTGTAAATGGACATGGTCGGTGGAGCCAATTGCCACGTGTCACGTGGCTTGTTTTTGTACTCATATTCAAAACGCCGTCGTATTGATCTGGTGACTTTGGTAGTTCAAAGCCAATAAGATTCTGCCACGTGTTAAATCCGGGTCGGGTCCCGGACACAAATAAGGTCTATGGGTTGATGACGGTTCCGGTTGGATCGCCGGCAGCGACGCGCTACCGATGGAGAGTGATTCGTCGGTCTCCGGCAGAGATTCGTCGGTTCCCGGCAGAGATTCGTCTTTGTCGGACGAAGAAGCTGATCTTCAGAATCTCGTCGAACAAGCTGATTCTAAAACCGACAGCTTTCGCCGTCGAGATCAGATTCCTTCGCATGCCGGCGACTGCGACGCTTCGGAGACGGTGGAGAGTCGGGGAACTAGTTTCGACTTCCAATATGTCGTCTCGCGCCTAAGACGACGATTGAAGCTCAATCTCAGCAAGCGTCAGGCGATTGTCATCTTCCTCCCTCTAGTCATTGTCCTTGTTTACTTATCCGTCGATGTCCGGAGTTACTTCTCCGTCGAGGTCCCGCCTTTTGGACCTTCTGATACCGTCTCGGATCGGGTACAGGAATCGGAGCTCCGGGCACTGTATCTTCTCAGGCAGCAGGAGAGTGCCCTTCTCTCTCTCTGGAACCGTACTTCGTCGAATTCCTCTGCCATCGATGATGTGAAATCAGAGGTTTTCCGGCAGGTTTCGTTGAATAGACAGATCCAGGGTGCACTTCTATCTCCGCATCGAGTGGGTGATGTACCGGAGAATGGCGGATTTTCGTCTGGTTCGGCTGCTTACCTATCCGGCGGTAGGTGTCGAAGAGTGGACCAGAAATTGTCCGAGAGGAAGACGATACGATGGAAACCGAGACAGGATAAGTTTCTATTTGCAATATGCTTGTCGGGGCAGATGAGCAATCACTTGATATGTCTGGAGAAGCACATGTTCTTTGCGGCATTGTTGAATCGCGTCTTGGTAATCCCTAGCCATAGGTTCGATTACCATTACAGTAGAGTCGTAGACATTGATCGGATCAATACTTGTCTTGGTAGAAATGTTGTGGTTTCCTTCGAAGAGTTTGTGGAGAAGAAGAACAAGAATAAGAAGGGTCATCATCATGTTCGCATTGACAGATTCATCTGCTACTTCTCGAAACCTCAGCCATGTTATGTAGATGAAGAGCATATTAAGAAGTTGAAAGCTTCCGGTGTTTCGGTTGGGAGTAAGCTGGAAGCGCCATGGGAGGAGGACATTACAAAGCCGAGCAACAAGACAGTGGAGGAAGTGGAAGCTAACTTCAGGTCCGATGATGATGTCATCGCCATTGGAGATGTTTTCTACGCCAATGTGGAGAAAGAGTGGGCAATGCAGCCTGGAGGTCCCATTGCTCACAAGTGCAAGACTTTGATTGAACCTAATCAGCTGATTTTGGTCACGGCACAGCGGTTCATCCAGACTTTCTTGGGCAAGAACTACATTGCCCTTCATTTCCGCAGACATGGATTCTTGAAGTTTTGGTATGGTGCCATTTCTTTTTCTTGAACATCTTGTCGGTTTTTCTTGTAGTATGTTTGTTTAAAGTAGAAAACTTTATGCTTGACTGAACGTGATGCTGGATGCTGTTGTAGTATCAGTGGCATGCCAACTAAAATGCATTATAATTTAGCATAAACAGCATCATGTGACCCTGAATTTATAGCATGAACATATGTTATCAATTGAGATGATATATATGTGACCCTGAACTCGGAGTGAGATTTTGAAGGTTGTGTTATAAACAAGAGTTTCTGTTATACCACTATTGGTAGCTTTTGTTAAATGCATCAAGTTCATTGTTTCTTTATCTTTGTGATGGAAGCTCTTCTCTGTTGTGGCTTTTGTGATGAGATTTCTGTGTGTCGGGTTTTCCGTGTTACGGTCTTTTTCCCTCCTTTGTTCAGATCTTATGTCGTAGGAAATTAAACCGAAAACCCGGCTAAGAGAATTTGTTTCTTGTTCCAGCAATGCCAAAAGTCCGAGTTGCTTTTACCCCATTCCCCAAGCTGCCAACTGCATCATTCGTCTGGTTGAAAGGGTCGGGGCATCAGTTATTTACCTTTCAACTGATGCCGCCGAAAGTGAAACTGGTTTGCTTCAGTCACTGCTCATGTTGGATGGGAAGACTGTTCCACTTGTGAAACGACCACCCCGTAATTCAGCGGAGAAATGGGATGCATTGTTATACAGACACGGTCTGGAAGACGACTCACAGGTGAGAATTGTTAAACTTTTTCTTCTATATACAAGAACGGATCTTTTATTGAATGAGTTCTTGTTTCAGTTGTATTTCCCCAATTTATGCTATATAATTTCGAAATCCAGAACCTGTTGACTAACCCGATTCGTATAAGCATGCAATCTTATCTCTAATCCAAACTCTGTGTACTAACAATCATCACTCGGATATTTCACTTCCAAGGTGGAAGCTATGTTGGACAAGACTATCTCTGCCATGTCGAGTGTGTTCATAGGAGCATCTGGATCCACTTTCACGGAGGATATCCTTCGGCTCAGGAAGGACTGGAGAACAGCTTCAGAGTGCGACGAGTACCTCTGTCAACATGAGCAGCCTGATTTCATCGCAGACAACGAATAACAACGCTATCAAATCTTCAAATCTTGTGAGTTCATTAATCTCTTAACGGGTCTTTTTTTCAGCCAAACCTAGAGTCTTTAGTTGTTCTTCTGTGCATCTGTTTGTGTATCATATAATAATGATAATAATGAATACCACTCGGCCATTCTTCTGTGTACACCCTTACATCCCAAAAAAAAAACAATGTTTTCTTTGTTCCCTACCCAAGCTAGTTGAATATCTATTCAGTTGTTCAAGTGGGATCTGATGTTTCCTCTGTAACAATACCTTTTTGTAGTAAAATCTGACATTATCCTGCGAAGAACACATCTGATTTGTCAGCTTGTCATTGATTAAGTTGAAAGCCTTGTCCAAAATGATTAGGTCTCTCTTCATTAATACATCCGTAGTTAACTCAGATTTCTCATAAAGGCGATGACTTTAGGCAGAAACTACAATAGTATTAATGTATTCCGTACATAAATAATGTATGACAACACATATATACACACAGATATCGAATCGTGCCGCTTCTTCTTCTTAGTGAAACATATTGCTCTGTATCGATAAGAGAACCGAAGCTTCTACTTGTTTCTTCTTTGAATTTCATTTTCTTGGCTTTGGATATATAAAAAATAAACCCACGTCGTGGGAAGCCCCCAGAAGATGGATTCCATGTAAAAGATCGAAGCTTTTTGAAGATTTGATCACGGGACTTGGGAAAAATCCTTTCTTTCTCTGTGTTTCGTTTTCTTCGGCTTCTGGGTTGTTTTGTTCTTCCGAGTAGAAAATGATGAGAGCGAGATTGGTGGTGTTCCTGATCAAAGGGAGAAACTGGTGCTTCAGCAGATCCACCGAACATTCCGCCGCACAGTCTTCGTCCAGTGATACTCCGACCACTGTACGGAGTCTCTGGAAGAAAATCTCCTACGAATCCAGGAAGCCCATCAACGCCAATGCCGAGCTCGTCGTCGATTTCATCTCTGACAAGGTACGATATTCTTGACCTCCCTTGTGTATACACTCACACGTATGCATATATATCGGTCACTAGGATTGAAGTCTTGAGTTCGGACCTCTTGGCAAAATATGTGAAAAAACCAGAGACGTGTTCTCTGCTTAGAACTTGATTTTTTTCAATGCTAATGGGTTGTTATAATGGTAGATGAATAGGGCATGGATGGGTCTGGAGAAGGCACCAGAAGGGTCAATGAAGAACAAGCTTCACGGGTTTGTCTCCATACTTTGTTCTTTGAGGCATTTGTTCTCATTTGAGGTCCATGGTTGTGGTCTGTTCTGCAAATGCTGATGTCAAATTTGATTGTGTGATGTCTATATCTAAGGAGGTGACATCTCTGCAAGTCACTTATCCTTCGAGGTTCTATTCTTTTTCTTTCCTACTCGACTTTGTAAAGATATATAATCAGCCTCCTCGGTTGGCACCAATCTTTCTCCATGAGTATGCTCTTGGTGAATTTCGAAGATTTCCGAGGAAAGAAATACCTTTTTGTTCTTCCTCGTTAATATGATCTAGTGATATTTGTACTGAACTTTACTTGCTTATGGCTGTCAATCAATGTTGCAGTTTAGATCCTAAACTTGTACGTCGGAGACTACATCATATTGCCATGAGGTAAATTATATTTTGTGGCTAGTAATGTTCCCTCTATAGCGTTTCTAGTGACTTTCTTGAAAGCATCTGTACTCGATGTCTTCAAAATGTAGACTTGATGTTCAGATTCCATATGTCGGGGTATGTTTTTAGTTACTCCACTGACATGAATATCCGTATCGGATTACAGAGGAATAATCCTTCACAAGAAGTTCCTTATCGGTTTATGGTATGTAATATGAGTAAGATCATCCTCAAGTAGGGGTGGACATTTTTACCCGAGATCCGGGGGTTTCCGCCTATCTCGCGGGTACCCGGAATTCAATATCCGTGAGACGTTGAGACACAGTTCGGGTTTTATGAGATAGAAAACCCGAGTTTCGGGTTCGGGTTCGAGTTTAATAATTTTATCTCGGGTTATCTCACGGGTACCCGGAAAATTCAAAAATTACAAAAATATCTTTTATTATTTAATACACTCACACAAATAACCCTAACCCTAATTTACCATCACTTCACTCTCTCTCTCTCATTTGTATTTGCGGCGGCTCTTTACAGAAACGGTCGACGATCGTCGTTCTCTCTGGCTTTTGTTCGCCTTTGTTCGCCGTTCTCTCCATTATCCGTTTGCAGAAGCGAAATCGATCATCGTTCACGTGTTTGCTGTTGCGAGTCTCCTTCTCTTTGCGAAAACGATCGCCCTCGGTCTGTCCTTCTCCGCCTTGCGCCTCCTTCGTCATTCGCCGGAGATTCAGGTACTTTTGCGCGTTGCTATCGATTTGTCTTCTTTGTCGTATCGGTTACCAAATCCTTCTAGTTACCAATTTTTCCATTCGATTCACTATAAATTTGAATGCTCTAGATAGTGCGGAAAACATTTGTAACCGAAGACGGAGTGAGGAAAGAGCCGAAGCAAGTTGCTAGGGAGATACTCTCATTCTTCACACGCATCAATTTCCAAGTCAATGATCGAGAAGAGACGACCGCGTAGAGGGCCCTGTTTACGTAAAATCTGGTGAAATTTCTCAGGAAAAATTGTGAATTTGGACATGAATCTCATGTGGGTTTGCATCTAACCCATTTAGGAATGATGATTCCAAACAGATCCATGTTTAAATTTTACTCATGAATCATGATATATTTTGGATTTTATTCAATTGTATTTTGGATATATTTTGGAGTATGGATTTTATGTTATTGATGTATTGATTTTGTATATTTGTTTAGTTTTTTTTAAAAAAAATTTACACGAGTTCGGGTTCGGGTATCGCGAGAACCCGAACTCGTGTCTCGGGTACCCGAATCTCGGGTACCCGGGTTTTGTGAGATAGAGATCGATACATTTCTCTCAAAAACCCGATGAGACCGAGATCGAGATAAGGGTACCTAAAAAGTCCGGGTACCCGTCCGTGCCCACCTCTATCCTCAAGAACCTAAGCAATTTTTTTGTTACTTCAAGTTTCGTGAACCAAAAAAGGTTTTTTTTTGTTCTTCCACTTATAAGGTGTTGCCGCTTCCCAACATTCCTTTCTTCTGGGTTTTGTTCCGTACTTATTCTCACTGGAGAGCTCTTCAGGTACGCCAAATGCCACACGTTCTGATTAGGTGAAGTTATTTTCGTAGAAGCTCGTTTCTTTATGTTTGGACTTGAAATGGGGGCTTTTGGTGATCACAAAGTAATGGCTGCGCATGTATATCATCACCATTTGTCGGGTTTTTTTTTTTTTTCGTGATGAATTCCATGTATGAATCAGGGTAATGTAAAGAAACTGTGTTTATGGACATTGCAGGGAAGTGAGAAGCTACTTCAGATCATCTCAACTCAAAGTAAGGAGGAGAGTAACGACATCAATCAGATTCAGGAACAAGAATCTCAATCTTCCACCACATTGGTAATAAAAAAAATCTGTTTGAAACCGATCCCCGAGTCTCGAGAATTCTTACATCTCATGTAACTGAAAGTGCTATAGGTCCAAACCGCATCTTCAAGCTTCAAAGCCCAGTCCTTTCTTGACTTGGCCACTGTTTTCTCCAAAATTTGTTTGATCTCTGATGACATGTAAATATTGTCATATTTTCACATTGGATGTCTAGCACATTTCACGATATTTTGCATATTTATAGATATCCCTTGTACATTTTATTCCGACTTCGAATTCATATAATATAAAAATAAAGAGATTCAACATAATAATTTTATACAACAAAACAAAAGTGTCGAACTTGTAAACTTGGAAAAAATGCAACATTAATCTCATAATATTAGTAAATATCATAATTAACTATTAATATTAAATATTTTTTAATTAAAAAATAAAAATACTGAAATACCGTACGGTATTTCCCGAACCGAACCGAACCCCGACGAGCGGTCGCCCAAAAAAATGGGTGGCTCGCTCGTTTCTTTTGTTTTTCGACGCCCTATGAAATTTTTTCCTGTTTCCTGCTCCTCCGACGGAAAGATTCGTTTTGATGAGAGTGCTTGAGAGGATTTGGAGCCTTACTAGTGTGGACTAAAAAAGAAAAATTGACGAGGTGGAAGAATTTACATCCCGGGGTTAACCGGGGTTGCTAGTTAAGGTCGTAGCTAGACCGAGATGCGGTTCAATCGATCAAAGAAAGAAAGAGTACAGAGGTACCTCCTCCCGGCTTAATACTCCCTAGATTGTATTGTTTTAGCCTTTGAGTGTTGACCATGAAAGATCTGCTTTTTCCGTTGTCAAGTTCCACCGCTCCATGCGAGGTAACGCTCTTTACAACGAACGGTCCCGACCATCTTGATTTCAGCTTTCCTGGAAAAAGTTTTAATCGGGAATTAAATAGGAGAATGAGGTTTCCTTATTGTAAGCTTCGATTGAGTATATGTCGCTCATGCCACTTCTTGGACCGCTTCTTGTAGATCCGTG